CACCACTTCTTCTCGTCTACCTAAAGGTTGCGCGCAGGCTCTCCGCGGGTGAAGACAGGCTGGCCGACTGCGGCTCTCCTCTCTTCTTCCTGCGCATCTGTCCCAGCCACCCCATCCCAGCACTGCCACCTGCCCCAGGACCAGAGCACGTTTCATGGCCCAGAGGCATTGAAGAGGCATTCTCTGCCTCTTCTTTTTCCCTCTTCAGGACAGTCCAGTACGTGGGTCCCTTTTCTTTGGTTTATCACTTCTCCCTGAATAGTCATGTCCATTTTAGCCAGCTTCTCACAAATGCGGTTGTCTTCTTTCCATCCTTGGATCTCTCCTCATTTTCTTCCAACTCTTGCCCATTTATTCTAAGACTCTCCTCTTTCCATGCTCTCTCCCTCTAGCCTTGCTCCCTTTTAAATATCTATATTCCAGAGAGAGGAAGGGAGAAGGAGATAGAAACACCAATGATGAGAGAGAAACATCGATGGGCTGCCTCCTGCACGCCCCACACGGGAGATCGAGCCTGCAACCCGGACATGTGTCCTGACCAGGAATCAAACCATGACCTCCTGGTTCATAGGTCAACTCTCAACCATCTACATTTGAATATTTTAAATCTACAATGTACATCCAAAGCTTTAAGTTTCAAATCACAAAATGTGAGAATTTTAAATTATATTTCTGGAAATATGAATACTGAACACAACTCAGTTAATTGCAGGGCCTCCACCACACAGAGCAGAAAATCCGTTAAGTGTAGCATTGTTCTGAGGGAATAACAGAACAGAGAACAGAATTATACTGTATCTTAGATCTTGTAGGTCATAAGCCATGCTATTCTCTCTCTCTCCTGAGAACATTTTAAGTCAATTATGAGTTCTTTTGTTTTGAATCACTGAAGCATTTTAAAGTAATATGTCTTTCTGAAAGTAGTAAATTAATGTTCCTTCAGTGAAATTTTCACTCAGATGTCAGAACCACTGCCAACTTTCTACATTATTAGTTTTACTAAAAACTTGCGTAGTTCCACAATGTGGAAATGTTTTTTTAAATCTAAATAATTCCTTGTTTTTGCAAATGCACTAATAACTGAAGTACTTTTAACAATATTATTTTTTAAAATCCTGTTAAACATGTTTTTCTGAATTTAAAAGAATAAGATACACTCACAGGATGGAACAGAATATGGAATAGACACCATAACTGTTCTTACAGGATGGAATGCAAACCACGAGGCCTAGCAGTGGGAGAAGAGAGTGTGTGTGTGAGTGTGTGAGCGCGCGCACACGCACGCACGCGAGGGATGGAGATGGTGTTTTTAAGGGTGGGATGGGTGACAAAAGTGGTAAGGAGATAAGAAGAATCCGAGTTGTCTCAGATACAGGTGAATGCCTCGTTTTGAGCAGTCATATGGAATTAAGTGTTGTCATATAGACATACAGAATTGGATGCCTACAAGCTAAAAATTTTATCTTTTCTTCATTTCCTTCCTCCCAACACCTGCCCCAGCACCAAAGGACACTGAAAACACCACAAGGTGGGCCAGAAATGCCATTCTTTTTTTGTGTGTTAAAACTTACCCAAGGATATTTTTTTCCATTGATTTTTGAGATTAAAAGGGAGGGAGGGAGACATAGATTGTTTATCTCCCTAATTGGGGGGAGGGGGGGCAACCAGCGATCAAACCTGCAACCTAGGAATGGAACCTTCAAACCTTCAACCCTTGCATGCATGGGCCAAGGCTCTAACCACTGAACCCCACCAAACAGGTGCAAAAATGCCATTCTTAATGTGGAAAACATACCATCTAAACATGCTTAGAAAACAAACAAGCAAACAAACAAACAAACAAGGCAAGATTTCAGCGTTCCCTGCAGAAATAACCAGTTGCAAGGCAGAAGAAACTGTCTGCTCTGACACCTTTCCCTTCAGCCTCACGGTCAGTGGTGGAAAGACATACAACTCGTGAACAGGATTGAACCTTATTTCTCCCCAGGCCGGGGACAAGTCTCCGGGAGGCCCAGTCCAGGTACAGCTGCTCATTTTGTGACTTGTGAATCACTGCTTGTCCATCTTCGAGGAAGAAAGTTATTTCCCTCTAACTGCTCATCGCCAGCAATGTTTGCACAACATCAGGAATCCAGAGAGTAACCGGAAGCGAAGACATTCAGACTTCATTGCCTGACAACTTAACTTTTATCTTTCCCAGAAACTGTCTATTTTATAGCAACGTTCTCCTTAACAGAACAAGGTGCCCAGATGCAAAACCAGGACAACTCGGCTGAGACAAACTTCCGGGAGTGATTTCTGCCGGAGACGAATTGGGCGAAGCAAACATGCTTACTCATTTGAAATATCAACACAACTACCTCGCACAAGCCTTTTACCGACACCGGAGAAAGGCTTAAGTAAGTACACAGGCTGTCCCCCCAGAATGTATACACACTTTGAATGTAACTATAAAGGCGGTGCTTATTAAAATACACTTCATTTGCATTTAACCGCTATCAGGTATGAAAGCGTGTATACATTTTTGGGGGACATCCTGTATGTCCCATTGTGGCATTACTCACTCCGACAACGTTCTCCCAGAAAGAAAAGAAGAAAGCTTCGGTACTCGAATAAGATCTCTTTCTTTCAATGTTATCATACCCCCCCATGGCTCCAACGTCAAGATGTGGTGTGAAGCATTTCCCATCGCAAAGAATGCCTTGCGTCCCGCGGCAGTGGGCATGCTCGCAGGCCGGCCAGAATGTGGGCGCGGCCGGAGCGGGACTCTGCCCGCATTTGCGCTGGTCCCACCTTCACTAAGCGCTCTCCACCCTTCAGGCACACAGCGCTCAACACCGGGGAGCCTTTCATTTTCCCATCTTTGCACAGGAAGGAAGAATAGAGTTCGGGCAGTCGACTAAGTGCATTTTGGGAGGTGTTTTAATACTTTCTTTGGTTAGAAAAGTTCATGCAGGCTAAACTCAACAATTCTATATCGTGCCGTGGGCACCCTCCTTTAACACACCCAGGGCTGTTCTATCGCGGCCGGGCTTCCACACCATGGAAAGGGAAAATGTTAACCAGCAAATAGCAGGCAGGTTTTGAGGAGGGTTGATGAGGTTGGAATTAAGTTACCAGCAAGCAAGACCCTTGCCAAAGCTGCACTTGGGTCAGCTCCCATCCCCCACCCCCTCGCAGAGCCGGGGTTGCGGTAGGGAGGAGGCACCATGGGCGAGGCAGGTCCTCTGTGAACCCCGGTTTTCCACCAGCGCCTGCACCTGCCGCCCCCACCCACGCGGTCGCAGCCACCTTCCCAGGGCCCCTGGCCATCGGGGCGCCCGGGCCCACCTGCCTCCAGGGGCGAGGACGGGGGCGC